GGGAACACCACTTGTGACTGGTCATTTCACTGGAGGGAAAGCCTCTTTGGGTCATTTATAATCAAAATTTGATGTCGTCAGTCCCTGTCAGTCGCCAGCTGTGCTTTTCTGTGGTGCTTGTGTATTTGCTGCATGACGAGATGCGCGGGTATCCGTATAGCCCGCTGCTTGCGCATTTGGGTAAAATGCAAGCATGGGAAAAAAGTGATTCTCTCCAAAATTAAAGGCGTTTGTCTTTGGTGCTTCCTGCGCTGTCCTTTGCAACAGTTTAAAAATGTCTCCCTGAAACGTTTTTGTAGGTGGCAGATGGGTGCCGCTCACGTGCTCGGCAGGGGCTGTGTGAGGGATGGGGACGTTGGGCATCGTGACCTGCTTTTGTTGGGGTGTACCAGGCTCCGCCCTGACCTGCTGAATTACTTGTGCTGGGCACTTTTCTGTGAGTGCTGATGTGCACGATTCACTTATTTTTTCTTCCTTTTGAGGGGTTTTTTGAATTACCAATGTGGCATCAGATTTACTAGCCTGTGGTTTGAGATGACTAGTGAAACCCCGAATTTATTTACTCATGTGAGCTGTACCTGCCTGGTAACCTTTTCTTCCCAAGGCTTTGTGCTGACTTTATACAGAACAAGGGGTATCTTGATGTGAAAATTCACCTTTTATTAGACAGAAAGCAGGATGTCTATTTTTCTGTATCAAAAGTAGAAGCTCTTGTTTCTCCTTTGGGTCTTGTACACGCACAGAATTGTTGTTGTTCTCTCTTGTATTGCAAAATGGTGGAAAACAGAGAGTCTCTGAACTCATGTGAGCCCAGCAAATCAAAACAGTAAGTGTTGACTCATCAAGTAAAACAATCCTGAAAGTCTGATTTTGAACTAGAAAGTAGACATGTGACTTAAAATGTGGGAGTTCGTGTGCAATGCAGCACCCTATGTAAGTGTGATGTCTACCTTAATGATGCCTGAGCGAGGGTGCAGAGCAAGAATATGGGTTTATTTGCAGTGAATCAAAGGGTTTACGTAGCTATTAAAATCACGGCACACACTGAAATATAAATATGGGCGTCAGTTGTGACAGACAGCTTGAGGCAGAAGCACATCCCAGTGTGGATGGTTAAAATCGGAGGCTGATGTCTTGATCACATCAACCCCTGCCAGCCCTGGATGCATCTTGCAGGGCAACATGCAGCAACAGCAACGGTTAATGCAACGTGCTCCATCATGGGCAGGATGAGCTCCCATTGTGCCGGAGGGACTGGGACGGACGTTGACTCTCTGACCCCAATCAGCATTTTCTGCCCCTTGTTCCTGATGCTCCAGCAATGAGCAGTTACTGAACCCTCTGGGTCCCAGGGCTTTGTGTGCCAAAACAAATTAAATGTTTTTCTTACAGTCTGAAAATACAGCTAATGCAAAAGCCTGCGGGAGGGCTGGGAAGGGATGGAGACCTTCTGGAGGCAATGCGAATCAAAAAAAGGGTAGATTGCAGTGGTTTTAAAGGTTACCAGCAGGCTGATGTGGAACGCACAGTAGGCTGTTTTTCTCGTTATTTTCAAGATAGTTGGGGAAATATATTTGTGAGTGTTAAAGATCTTTCTGAGCTTTTCTTGGCAAGTCCCTCCTGCCTGGTTTGCTATGAGTTGAAGCTGGGGCTGAGAACCGATTCTGGGTGGGATGGGAAGGCTGTTCACCTCCCTGGTCTCCCCTCAGCCCTCCTGTCACCAAGGCTGCTCCCGCAGTGCCAGAGCTCAGTCTGGCAGCCTTGGGCACATACCTTAATGACTTTGGCCTCAAATAAGCCCTTGTTTTAAGGAAGAGTGATTGCACGTGAAGATTTTTAAAGTGGGTATAAATCCTGCCTCTCTCCTTGTTGTATTTGCCTTTGAAATGCGTCTCGGTCTAAATAACTTTACTAAAGCAGGGATGTTTAAATGGTGTAATGTTGACACTGCGGGTGTTCTCCATTCCCTTTGCTCCCCAGGTTTAAAGTGTTATGTAGGAAAGCTGTTAAAATGTCTGGATTGGCCATGGGTATGTAAAACAGGATTAAAAAAATTAAAAATTGAAAGTAGTTGCCTCAGTATTTGAAGTAATACGCATCTGTGCAATAGAAGAGTTATGCGAATCCCAAATGTACCTCAGCTCTGCCCTGGTTGAACTTGCTTTGCGTGGGGATGGGGTTTCATCACTACAGGAAGTCGTTGCAGGCACTTCTCAAGGCTGTACTTCATCCATTTCTAAGTAAACCACAGTTTAAAGGAGGCAGATGGGCAGGATGGGGGACAGCAGCATCCCAGTGCATGCCCTGGAAGCTGCCGTTTGCTGATGCACTTCTGCTTCTTCTCTCCTAGCACGTGCCGAAGACTTCTTCTACACTTCTCAGGGAGGTGACACCTCGATCAATGGAATGGATGATGCTGATGACTTTGAGAAAACCAGGCATGCCTTCACTCTGCTTGGTAAGGGGTTACTCTGCTTGGAGACTTCCCAGCAGCAGTCTCTTGCAAACGTTTGCCAGTATTTTGCCTGAATTATATGGCTGTCCTGTAACACTAAGAGGTATAAAGTCTGTCTTCCAATTGACCTAGTTGGCTTTACCTTGTTCTTTAGTGTGAGCTGCGGAAGTGTTTCTTACAGCTATGGGTGAAACAGCAGTGAAATGAAGGAGGACACTGAATTTAAGAGAAACCACACCAATCCATTCTGACTTGCTATTTTTTACCCTATTTACAGGCTGGAAAGGAGCTATTACTCTACAGTTCAGTTTGTATTTGGGTTAAGGGTGGTGTCACTTCTCGGGCCATCACAGTGTTGTACTGAGTAGCTGATTCCTGGGAATAATGAGCTGTGCGCATCCCTCCGGTGCAGAACCCATGTTTTTGCATGGCCATCTGCAAAATCTACTGCTGTGACAGCCACCCGTGCACGCTGCACGGTGGGCTGTAGCCTGCCTGCAGCAGCGACTGTTTGAAAGGAAAAACAATTTTTACAGGAGAAAACTTTCCCAGAGTTAAATATTAATCTGAAGCCAGGTTTTTAAATCCTAGGAAGGCTCAGTGCCTCTCCATTGTGTTTTATATGTTGGGAGAGGAGCTCATAATGTTTGCAGCCAGCTGTGAAATCCCCCTGAGCAGCTGTATCGCAGCTGTGCCAGCAGCGAGTGTGGGGACTTATCTCAAGCATCACAACTGCAAATGTTCCCTCCAAATTTGCTCTCTTTTTATTTTAGATGGGCTTGATCTCTTTTTCTTTGTGGTGATGGTGGGGCAACAGTGGGCTCTTTATATTTACCCTCCTGTATCTGGCTGGTGCAGCTTCTGTCTGTTAACTACTCGAGAAAATATGATGGCTCTGGTTTGGTCCAAACTTGCCCATGGGACTATGATAGCCAGGGGACCCTCTCCTCATCCCCTTGCCACATGAAGTCTTGCTTTGGTCCTCTGACTCTCCAAAAAGACCCCCTGTCTCCTTCCTGGCCCCTATGAAGAGCTGTGTGAGCATCTTCCCTGCTGCCAGTTTTTCCTGCTCTTCATGTGATCTCTGGCTCTGCCTTTCCTCATTTCCCTTCAGTGTTTCCCAGCTCTGTCTAGTTCTGTTCAGGGCCAAGTGAAATTGCTACTACACTTTCTAGTCTTGCCTTCTTATGAGTAACAAGGCGAAATCAGATATATCTGCAAATTCTCACCCTAGCCAGGCTTAACTCCAATTAAGAGTGCCAGGGAACAGCAGAGCATTGCTCCTTTTAGTAACCTTGAAACATTTCTCACTGTGCTCATAACAGAAAAGTCTCAAGAGAGAGAAAGGAAAGCTCTTGGTAATTCAAAAACCAGCAGGTGATGTCTCAGACCTTGGGTAGATAATTAGGACACCGGCACTGAACACAAAAGGGGCACAGAAACCCAGTTGGGATGTAAAAAAATGCAAGAATTGGCAAGAAAGCTGTGCGCAGGCTGCTGCTGAGCAAAGCTCCTGCTGGGAATGCCTGCAAAAGCTTGCCAGAAGAATATGTAAAGCAGTCACATCTTAAACCCCCAGTGAAGACCCACAACATGTGGCTTCTGTTGAGACACTGGGGACGATAAGACAGAGCTTCACGTCACCTCCTTGGTGTCTCGCTGTAGCACCAGTCTGGAGGCATTGTGTATCATGTGCACACTTAAATTTTCTGTTCTGCTTGGGGGATGCTGGCAGTAAGTTGTAATTTCTGTGCTTCAGTTGTCATCGAGATCTCGCTGTGGAACTACGATCGCAGAGAAGCAAGTCCTTGTTCTATAAAAACCGCAGAACCCCTGTAGCTCTGATCCTGTTTGATCATTATGGAGTAGCACCCTTGGTTTTGTGCACGTTTGCAATGGTATTAAACCCATCCGTGATAAAATTGGTTTGATGCAGTCATTAGGGGTAAAGAAATAACGTGGGGAGCTCCTCTTGCAGTCTGCTCTCTGACTTTTGAGCGATGACTTGACTGAGAGCTTATGGTGGGTTTATTGGGAGAGGTCTGATAACTGAAAACCAACAGCCTGGGAAGGAAATGTAACACCACAAGCCTTTTCAAATGGACTGGAAGTTGGAGTTTGTTTTCTGTTGTGAAAATCAGCTATCAATTGTTCCCATAGGAGTAAAGGAATCTCATCAGATGGCCATTTTCAGGATAATTGCTGCCATCCTGCACCTTGGGAACTTGGAAATCGAAGCGGATCGAGAGGGCGATGTCTGTAGCATATCGGTAGGTCACCCGCAGGAGTGGGGCACGTGGGGAGCTTTGTATGCTCATAAATCATGACATGTTGGATGTGTTGAACTTCGCAGCAGTGTCCTTCGGTAGAAAGTCCTTTTCATCCTGGTTTTCTTTGCTTCTTCTGAAAACACATCATGATGTTCTGGTTGCTTTGTTTTTCCTGGAAGATAGTGCATTTCTTCTCCTCTTCAGCCAGCCTGTAAGTGAGATGCTTACCACCTCACACCCCAGCCCGTTTTAACTCCTCTTGCTTTCTTAAAAGCCTTGGTGCACAGTGTTGGGGGAACAGTGACTCCCACAAGCAGAAGGTGTGATGCTCTACGACCGCTTTGCTACAGGCAAAGCCGTGAGGCTGCAGCTTATAATGCGGCCATTCAGTATTCAAAGGAGCATGGCACAGTTAATTAGCAAGAATAAATAACACTAAAGATGCCTCAGTGGTGATTTTTGTGTTTCTGTGTTTGTTCAGGGAGGTGGGGGGAAGGTGATTATATGGGAAATTCTGTCCTGTCAGTTGTTATTATTGACCCCCAGACGAGGTTGTTTGTTCCTAATTAAAGTATTAAAGTGGATTCTGCACACATTTTGGTGGTACCCTTGAGGTAATGGCATGTGCAATAAGTTGGATGTTAACTTAACTGGTAATTTGCGTGATATTTGGTGACATGGATATGTAAAAGTGGTCTGCTCCAACAGTGTTGAGTTCTGTAATGGAGTTCATGTTGTTTAATTATCTTCAGATATAATTGCATGCTATTAAATACATCCTGTTTTGACTTGGAATCCATGATCAGAAAGGTATGAGCGCAAAAAAGCATCCTAGAGGCCTTTTAAAATGTATTTTTCTCTCAATCCCCAGAAACATTTCTATACAAACATCTATCTAACTGGAAACAATTTGCTTCCTTTAGATAGGTAATATTACACTGAGGAAAGGGAAATTGATTTCTCACTTTCCAAAAGGCAGTGTCCACTGTCTTGGCATCAGAGAGACTCAGAACTACCTTGTCTTAGTTTGAGGAGAAAAAAAATACAATGCACTAAAGAAAATGAAGTTCACGTTTCACTTTATTGATTATGCAAAACAGAACCCCTTCTGGTAATGCCTATTTTGCAACTTTGTTATTCAAAACCGGGTTAGTTTGTGAAAGGGATGGTGTAACAGCATACCCTAAGCTTTCACTTGAGGCTTAATTAAGGTTTCTCTGAAGCAGCGTGTAGCTGCAGCTCAAGGAGGATTCACGTGGAGGGTGCTCTTTCCTGTTGGCAGTCGCCGTGGAAATCTGCTCTTTGTGAAGTTCAGGACCTTAAGGATAGCCAGAACTAGGGAAAGCCATAGGATGTGCTACCATTTAGAGTTCCGTGTGACCCGTTTCATCCATGTCCGTGAAGACTTAGCAGAACTGGATGAATGCTCATCAATTCTGTTTCCTACCAGTCCCAGAGATTGTATCTTCCCAGATAGGCATGGAATGGTTGCGCTGGTGTTAAAACTGCAGTTTTGGGATGTCACCACCTGCTGACTTTGCTTCTTGTTACCCCCAGAGTGAGGACAAGCACTTGAGCAACTTCTGCAGCTTGCTGGGTGTGGAGCAGAGCCAGATGCAGCACTGGCTGTGCCATCGCAAGCTCATCACCACGACCGAGACCTACGAGAAGAATATGTCCGTGCAGCAAGTGGTGAACGTCAGGAACGCCCTGGCCAAGCACATCTATGCCCGACTCTTCAACTGGATCGTGCAGCACATTAACAAGGCCCTGCACACCACTCTCAAGCAGCACTCCTTCATCGGCGTGCTCGATATCTACGGGTAGGCACGCTTTCTGCCTTTAGGGCTGTTAAATTAGCCCTTTCTAATTTGCCTTATCCTTCTGGCGATGCATGCTTGACCTTGGCTTGTGGCACGGGATGGGAAAAGGCCGCAAAAAAGCGCAGTCGTGTGTGTTTTGTAGTTTTGATCCTTCTTTGGATTGTGCAACCCTGACCATGAAACAGCACATGGAGATCCACTTGAGCACGGGATTTACCCTCCCATGCTGTTCCAATTTGGGATTTCTGTTTAAAGCATCAAGCTTTAAAGACGAGCTAAGTGTAAAGGTGCAGATGTGGAGACCAAAAACTGCGCCTGGCTCTGCTGTGGGTGGCTGTGGGGTTTGGGGACACTCATTTACCTCCTCAGCTGTGAAATGGTTGTTGCAGGACCTTTGTGCAGTGAGAGCTTTTGGAGGACCTTGGGAACCTCTGGTGGTGGTGGGTAAGGTGCAAAAAGCTCTGGCATGACTGAGGGCAGGTCCTGCAAACTCAAGCCTCAGGGGCAACGAGCTGCTTTATATTCGGACTGGGTACCAGTTACTGCCTGAGCTGTCATCCTGGGACTTGAGTGCTGTTACAAGAGGGATGTGAGAGCTGCATGTGAAAAGTTTGTTTTAGCTGAAGTGCTGCAAAGAAGCAGAAGATGGAGAAGAAAGGAGGGGTGTTATGTCAGTTGTGGGGTGGAAAAGGAAAGAGGTCTTCTGGGTGTGTTGTTTTCCACTCCCCTCTTTCAACACCATCCTTTTTCTGTCCACAAGGGAGAAGTGGGACAGCAGTGACCTGCTGAGTTCTCTTTAATATATTAAGGCACTTGGTTGCCTCTGTTTCGGAGGGGAAGGTGGAATGGACAAGTTGTAGCTGTTCCCGAAAACCAGTCCCTGGCCCCACGCAGTCACTGTGCTTGCTCAGTCCCTACTCCTGTGTGGTGGCAGACTCCTCGTAAGGTCTCTCAGACCTAGGCGAACCTGAAGTTCAGAGTGAAGTCCTGCCAAGTCGTTCTGGGTCAACTGCAGAAAAACTTTTATGGCTATAATACCTACACAGTTACTGGAATTGGATCCTGTGAATAAAACCTCCCATGGGGTTTCTACAACTACTGATGTTTGTGAGAGTGAGGTTGCTGTCAGAGGTTTGTCTGGGCTCTCCTAGGTATATAGCACAGCACCTGGAAGATCTTAAATAGCTAGATGGGATTTACACAGCCTGGTTTGGAGACTGTATGAGACAGAAAAGCCATTTCCCATCAGTGTCCCTACAAAGAGATTTCTGCAGGCTGCGGTATGATAAATCAGGCTTTGAGGTGGAGCTTTGTGGGCAATACTGTGTCGGTGCAGAAAGCTGGATGCCCGTGTTAAAAAATCAGATGTGGTCTTTCAGAAATCTGAGTAAAAGGAGACTTGAAGATAATGCTCATGAAAGATTAAGCTGGGCTTGAAAACCTGTTGGTGTGGAAGAAAAATCTCCCTTAGCTGCACGTCTCCTGTGCGTCACATCCAGTGTCTGGGACAGCAGATGCTTTTACAGCACTGGTGTCGCAGAGTACAGCAGGTTGTTTTTTTCCACAGGGATCTTCAGGTCGCATGAAAAGAGTCAGGTTGGCTGGAGAAAGGGTGTCCTTGCTCCGGGTCATAACTCTGGTGTGTGGGTCCGGACTCCAAAAGTGACCATAAATCCCCTTCAGAAGGGTGTATTGCTATCCAAATGCTGAGTAATTAACACGGCAGGGACTTCGGGTGCTGGCAGCCTGAGTTTCTTGAAAATGGTTTGGTTCCCCAAACTCAGGATATTCGGGACCTTTAATACATTCTGCCAAATACTGGATTTCTTTTCCCAAAATGTCTATCTGTCATTCTCCTTTTTCTTCTCAGCCCAAGCCGAAGGTGCAAAGGCTGTGGGTTTGTCTCCTAATTTTCTGCATTGTTAATTCTCCGTTAGTATTTGGATGAGAGTGTACAGCATTAAAAAATTTTACATATTTATTGAAAGCGTGCCATTTTCTGTATAA